CCAGGTGGGACTTAGCTATACCCTGTCTAAATCCTCTAGTGCTCAGACCTGGGAGTGAGGTGGAAGGGTTTCTGTGTAGCCTCCAGGTCGAAGGTTCCATATTCTTCCAAATGGTACAGGAGGACTTTGTGTTTTACGTCTAAATTTGCATAAATAATCATAAAGTCACTAGATAACCAAGAATATAGTCAGTTCTCTTGAAACAGGATGTGTGCTCTTGCTAGTGCCAAGTCAAGTCAAATTGGAACAGTTTTATTTTTTATTTTTTAGATAAGTTCTCAATATGTGAGTTAGGCTGGTCCTATACTCTATATAGCCCAGGCCGACTTAAGCTCTCAGCAATCCTCCTTGGGTTGTGCTGGAATTGCAGGAGTAATATACAGCAGGCTTGTAACCATTTTGAAAAACATCAGTGAACCAAAAGACCATTGTCCTGAAAAACTTTTGAGGGGTAGGGAGCAGACAACCACGGGCATGATTATATAGCATTTGCTCTGGCTTATACCTACATGTTCCCCCAAATCCTCATAAACTCATAAGTCAGACTTTGGGGATGTGGGGGGTGGCTTTTTGGGAGGTGAAACATCTGAAAACTGTGAGCTAAATAAATCTTTCCCCCTTGGACTTTTGGCATCAGGTATTTTGTCTCAGCAAGGGGAGAAATGTAATGGGTCTAGCATGTATGATACTTGGGTTAAGGGTGTCTGGTGTTAATTTATTGTAGTTTTGGGTATGCATAACAGGAAGGCCCATCCCAGGTGTTTGTGGCACCACGAACATGTTTGTAGCCTGGGTGGGATAAAAGGTGAAGGAGGGCTTTCCACTGCTACTTCTTTTCCCTACCTCCTGCCTGCTTTTCTGTGGGCCGTTTCTACTCTGGGCCACATTTTTACCATACTGCCCTGCCCCGGAACCAGCTGACTATGGACCAAAACCTTTACAGACTGCGAGCTGAAATAAACTTTCCCTCCTTTAACTGGTAGGCATTGGGCATTTTGTCCCTTCAACAAGAAGCTAACTAAGGCAGTATTTTAGAGGATAAGGGTTATGGGGAAAAAAATCAAAAGAATACCCCACTGTTGCAGCTTGTGTCTAGATGTACCTCCAAAGCCTCAATAGTCATAGGTATTTTTTTTCAGAGGTGACTGAATCTAGAGTGTGACTGGTTCATGGTGCAGTGCCAGGATTAAGGGTGGGTGATTACTAAATGAGTCTGGGTTTGACACTGTCCCAATCCCAGCAGTCTGGATACAATATAAGGGGCAGGAAGGGGCTTGCTTTACCAGTTGTTTGCTTTGCTGCCTTCTGCCTGCCATGAACTGTTTCTCCTCTGTGATACCCCTCTGCCAACCCACCCTGCCTTGAAGTCAGCCAATTATGGACTGAAACATCTAAAAACTGTGAGCTAAATAAATCTTTCCTCCTTTGACTTTTAGTGTCAGGTGTTTTGTCTCAGCAAGGAGAGAAATGTAATTAAGACATCCAGTATCCTTTATTAATATAGATGTAAAATTATTTAACAAAATAGCAGCAAATTCAATTTGGCAGAATATAAAAGGGGTTGTGCAACATAAACAGTGAGCTTTCTTGCCAGAGTGCAAGAATAAGTCAACATAAGAAAGTTAATTGATGTAATAATAGGCCATCATATTCGGATGAAGGGAAAAAACTCCTACAGTCATCTATACTAATGTAATAAAATCATTAGACAGAATTCAACAATTAAACATCATAAACTAGGAATAGAATGGAATGTCCTCAACATGATAAATACTATGTCAGAAAAACCACCCATGCGGTGGCCCACACCTGTAATCCTAGCACCAAAGGAAGGTTGTGGCAGGAGGATCAAAAGTTCAACCTCACCTAGACAATTTAGATTCTATCTGAAAAGTATCAAATAAAAAGGAGATATAGCTCGTAAGTATTGAGTCCCTGCTTTGGATCACCAGTACCAGAAAAAAAAAAAAAAAAAAAAAAAAAAAAAAAAAAAAGACACCTCTAAGGAAAGCCCAGTCATAGATGCTGTCTCTAGTCCTTCAGCAGGACTGCTGGTGCTACAGGATAATTGTCAAAATTTAGATCAGAATAGAAGCTTCAACTGTAGCCTTCCAATAGTGGAGAAGGCCAGATCCATAGCTGCCCCTGGAGCACGGCAAAGCCTTTGAAACCGTGACCTCCAGGGTTAGGGTTTCGAGTTTTCCAGGCTGGACTTTGCTTGCTCCCGCCACCTTCAGGCTGGAAGGGCATTTCCTGGCAGCTTCCAGCTAAGCTTCCGTCTGCCCTTTGTTATGTACCTCTACAGGACTCCGTGTGGCCCTGATAAGGTCACCAGGTATTTTTTTGATAGGATCCTCTTTGTGATCCTTTCTAATGCTTGATAGAAAAATAGTGGCATCCTGTAAGAACAATCCATGTCTATATAAGATACCAATATAAAGTGTAGCTTCTAAAGTAAGTCCATTTAAGGTATAGCCTCTTTAAAATAAATATGTATTATTGTAGGCATTATGTATTCAGTTATCATACACTTAATCTAAAGTATGAGATATATCAGATAAATGCAGGTGACCCGTGTGTCATTCCTCAGAGACACTTCGTGTGTCGGGCTGGAAATCTACATTTCTGTTTTGCACGAATTCAAAGCTTTCCATTGTATGGCCCGTCGGTTTCTGTAAGTGTGCACACCCACTGAGGCCTTCTCTGTTAGTGTGCATCTAACCCGCCACGAGGCTCGCGGGGTGAGGACTCGCTCCGCAGGGGAAGGGATAGGAGCGCGAGCGCGGACTTCGCGGCGGCTCCCCGGCGGGTCCACTAGGGGGCGCGGCCGTGCAGCGGCGGCCTGCCTGGGGCCGGGGCGCCCCGCGCCCTTCCACCCGGCTCCTCGCCGCTGTGCACCGCCTGGCGGCCGCAGTGCCTACACACCTTAGCCACAGCGTTTCTGCCTTGCACCGGACCGAGCACCGGACCAAGTCAGTCGTGGACTGAGACTTCCGAGCTGTCGTCAAAGGAGGTCTTTCCTCCTTTAAGTTGTTTTTTCAGGTATTTAGTCACAGCAGTGAAAATCTAAGTCTCTCTTTCCAGATTTCTCTCCTCTACAGGCTTCATCTGGACAGCTTAAAAACCTTGAGAACAACACTGACATCTGCAGAAGCCTGTCAGGAAGTAGACCCTGTCTCAAAGCACAGTAATAAAAAGGGCCAGAGATGTAGCTCATTGCAAAGGCCCTGGGTCCAATCCAGGACCGCGGGCTGGGATGGTGGTGGTGGTAATGAAATAGGAGGACGATCCTGGCTGCCGCCCTGCAGTCGAGAACGATCCCTGGAGGGCGCTATCAACACGCCGCAGCCCTGGGTCGACCCTCCTTGCAGAGGGTGGGCTCCTGGGGACTGGGGCCAGGTTCTGTACCCCGAGTCCTTGCTCCCTTTCTCGCAGTGATATTTGCTGCATGGAAATGCATCAGTGACAACCCATCCT